CGAATCTGAATCACTTAGAAAAAACGAACGGGGGTGGCTTAACTTTTTCCTAGGTGTATATATATATATATATATATAATCAAATCCATGACAATTTTTTAGTTCCTGGCTATTTGAAACATAAAAATGAAAGTTTTTGCCATACAAAGCTTTGAGTCTTGTCCATCACCATCATAAATTCTCTGGAAACTGTATTTGAAATTCCTTTTATACAAGTTAGACTTCAAGATAAACAAAAGTCCAGTTGATTCCTAAACACATAACAGTTTAAGATGATATGAAAATAGCTAAAGCTGTATCAAATTAGCATATTGAAATCTACTATAAAACTTTCCCTACCGAAGAAATAGAAAATGCTAATGATGGAAACATTTTATCAACTTTAAGGTTATCTAATACTTATATTGTTAAAATTAGACGTGATGAACATGGATATCTTGTTAAACTCATACTGTTTCATAAAAGCCTTGATTGCTCTGCTTTTCAGAATATGATATTGCAGTCCCCCATTGCATTGTCTGGACTCTCCAACACACTTTTTCCTTCTAGTGAAGTATGGGACTCTATAGAGGACTGTCCTCTTGATTGTACACAATACAACTCAGTTGAGAGAAAGGATGGTGGTATTCTGCTGGCATAGATGGACCTCATGTTCAAATACAGATGCTACCAGGTGTTGTATGTAGCACTCTGCCATATATTGCAGTTTGCACTTTCAGCTGAGGCACCATCCTTCCTACCATCTACTGGATGCTGGTTCTCTGTGGATCTAGTGTTGATTGAAGCACAGACCAGCCATAAGTTTTTACATGTTTGGATGTTTAATTTCCTCCTACTCCAGACTGAAAGATAAATTCCCAATGCCACCAGGTTTTGGACTGGAGATGCAACCCCAAATAGCAGTCTCTCTTCCTACTGTCCACTGGATGTTGGTTGTAGTTGGATGAGATACATCTTTCTGCATGTGTACAGTTGGGTACCCTCCTCCTCCTACTGTGGATCAGATGAAAACTTCCCAATGCCACCAGGTTTTGGATTGGAGATGAACACCCACCTGGGATCTCCACCTTCCTACCATGCACTGGGATTTTGATTCTCAATGGATCTGGTGTTGAAGGTGTACACATGCAATAGTGTGTTATTGGCATGGAAACTCCTCTTCCCTACCGGTACCAGTTTTTGGGGTGAAAGGTAGAGGACTCTCTTCCTACCACAGACCTGATGTACAATTCCAGATGCTGGTTGAGGTTGAACTACCATTTGCGGTCTGTTATGCCCCAGCAACTTTACACCTAGAAATCCCTTTATTTCTGTAGTTTTTTTTCATGGAGTCCATCCTTTGTTTCCACCCTTTGAGCAATACATAACTAATGGGCGAGGAGTATACCTGGCTCTGAAGTGGTGCAGTCTCCTACAGGTGTGAAGTTTTTAGTTCATTCTCACACCCTATGGTTTTCCTTTGGGTGCTTCGTAAACGGAGATCATCTCACTGGCCCTCCACCTGTTCAATGTGGGATTCTAGCTTTTTGTGAGAGGAGGAAAGATATCGTGTTGAAAGATAACATTTTCCTAAACTGAAAATGTATTTCCAATAGATACTTATCTCTTCTCACATTTCCCACTTCTGATGTGGTTTGATCTGACCAATCTCGAAGTGGTTAACAGCTGCAAGATTAGAGAGAGTTCTAGTTACAATAGAGGTATTTGGGCACTCCTGTTGGTGTAGAATTGCTGCAAAATCATTTGCAGATATCTCATGTTAACATACATGAGGGTAAGTTGGAGTGCCAATAGAGGGCAATATTAATCAAGAAAAGCTAAGCATCTGTTGGAAACACATTTTCAGTTTAGGAAAGTATTAACTTTTAAGCCCACAAGATCAACAGTAATTGTTATGGGAAGCTCACAAGAACAATATAGTGATTTCTCTTTTAAAGAGACCATCCAAGCTTTTCTTGAATCATGCATGCATTCTGAAGTAGTCTGTAGTGCACCTTTAGTTCTATTCAAAATAATTAATAGCTATCATATTAAACAAGAGATATGGTGTATATTTTATTAAAATCACAGAAAGGCTAATAAGATATTAGTCAAGTTTCAAGTGTAAATCCCTTTTTCAATACATGAAACCTGTTTGCTTGTTTACAGCTTCAATCTTAACTTTTTTTATAAATAGCACACATTTATGTTTTAAAATATCATGCCCCAAGGGCAAAAATTTCATATAAAATAGATTTGTAGCCAAACTTCTTCACATCTCAAAAAAACAAAAAACACTTCAATAGTTGTACTTTATTCAATAAGAACATTTTATTTGTATACATAATTACAAATTTTAATTGTGGGTTAATTTCAGCATGCACCAAATGAAGGCAAACATTTGTGTTTATGAATTTTTTCAAACTATAATAGTTCTGAATGAAATTGCATTAATTTGAACATGCAAGTTCAAAACAGATGTAGACAGTCACTGTATCTCAACCTCTGTTCTCATAGTGTGATGCAATTGCCTATATCTCAGCTCTGAGAAGGCATAGGCTATTGAAGTAAACATGTAATGAAAGCTCTTTTTTTCTGTTCAACTGTATATTTCAGCAAAGATTTGCACAGAGATTGAAAAAAGTGTGCTGGAAAAAAAAAGATGCTTGTGAATAGCTTTTACCACAATTAGTCTTGATTCGTTTCTAAATCTTGTAAAAGCTTGCTTTATCATTTTATACCTTATATGAATTTTGGTGTTGCCTTAGGCATAGTTAGATCATTTTGTTACACTTTACCATATTAAGTTTATTTTCACTAATAAGGCCAATGCTTAGGCCATGTTGATATTAGACCTTATTGGCCTAAGTACCTGCTTGAATGGGCAAACAAAATCACTAAAATGAAATGTATATATATATATATAAAGAACATGAGATAGGTTTAAAACTTAATATAAATATTAAATGAAACCTTATGGTTAACAGTGACAAAAATGTTGATTTGCTTATAATTTTGGTATAGTGAAAACAGTTATTATATATGACTGATCGTAAACACAGTGAAACTATGTGTAGTGTTTCCCAAATCAAAATATTTACAGTTGTTTACAAGAATGTAGGAAGATATAAAAATCAGTAATTGAAATCTACAACAAAGTTGTTAAGTCTTCTTGTCATCATTCCAGTCATTAATTTTTATTAGATATAGGAAAAAATACCTGATACAATAAAACATTCCACTATCTGATGAAACATGACCTGATCAGATACTAATTTTGTAATGAATGAGATAACATTTTCATCAATGGATTATCTTACACTATCATTCAGGTGTGATACTACATGCACATGCACAGGGGTTTCATTAAGAAAATGTAACCAGAAAGTCAGTGCACTTAACTCAGAAAATCTTGCCCATAAAATACTGGGACATCCAACAAATATTTAAGGATGATTGGATACCATTTGTTCACACTGGTTATCTTTCCCCACTTTTATTTTCAGCAGAACAATGATTTATTTCTTACTTAATCCATGTTTGATGCTTTTTCTTACAATTTTGGGATTATTAATTAAAGTATGTCCCACATCACTGATTGGAAACTACCAAAATTATGATCAGCTATTATTCTAATAAAAACAAATTTTAAACGCTGCTGAAATGGAATGGCTAAACCATTTATTGCTAGGTGACAATGCAAGAAAATCCACATGTATGCATATAATGTTGAACTAATACAGAACAAGATGGCCAAGCGTAACATTAAAATAAATGAAAGGCTTGGCCACATAAGTCTATTCATATTGAGGATAAAACTGTTCTGACTTTTTCCCATTGTTCAAAATATTTTTTCTTTATCATCTCTTCAGTTCAAAGCTATATATTATATCTTTTCATCATCTTGTATCCCCGCTATAATTGGCATATGATCCAATTCTATTCTGTTTTCTACCTTCATTCATTTAATCATTTATTGTGGTTTTTCTTTTTTTAAGAATAAAATCCACCATAAAACCTCTTTTTATTACTATATATATAAATCCATCTTCCTTACTCGTCTCTGTCCACTCTTCCATTCTACATAATCAATCTTGAAGCTTCACAAAATTCTATAAACCATTTTCCTTCTCTATTCAAGTCTTGATTTTCTAATGTTTTCCATGGATATCCTATATGGTATTCTTGACATTGATCTTTTCCAGTTGTTGCATTCATATTTCCCACAAATATTATATGTTTTCTTTCCTCTTTTACTTTGATTTGGTCAATCATTTGCTCTATCCCTTGATTATTTATTATACAATACAAAAATTATCCCGCCCCCACACATATTTGCTTTTTATGCAAATTGTAAATTTGGCCATAGTTGATTTCTTTTCTGTGAATAAAAACAGAGTCAAAGATAATTAAATAAATTCTTGTTTAATATAAATGGGCTACCTGTGTTCTGTGACACCCCCCCCCAAATATGAATGTTATGTGTGTGAGTGTGTGTGTGTGTATAACACACACACACACACACACACACAAAGATAAGAATGTCTGGTGCTAAGCATGGAAATTGAAGTTGTGTGTATTGTTAACAGTTACCTAATCTTTTCTGTTCCTCAGACCTATTCCTCAGGGTCAGCCTCCTGTGCAGGCTAAAGGACCTTCACATTTATCAGCCAAGCAGCACTACATGAACAAAGCTCGTTACGTTGCAGGACAAAATACAAAAAATGCAGCAATTCAGGACAATGAGATATCCCAAGAAATGACTATAATTGGAAGAGGTTTAGGTAAGTTAATTTAAATTGTAAATGGTTTTGTGTTTTAAGCTAATGGTTCAGTTGTAACACAAGTTTCTTTAGCCCATAAAGCAAACTTCAAGGGAAAATAAATACTAGTATACAACTAATAATAGAGTTAATGAAATGTGTAAAAGTTGATCATTATAAATTGTGTGTGTTTAGAAGGACTGCTTTTTTATATTTTAGAATATTAGAAAAGATTTATAACACCACTTTACAGTTATATTCAGGTTAATAAAAGTGCTATGTAACATTAATATCATTGTTGTATGACAACTTTTAAGTTACAGCTCTGATAGCCTTGATTTCTTTATACATTATTGCTTATCTACTTGAAAGATAAAAAATTGCATACACGCTTACACAGGGTGATGTGTAAACTGTAAAATAACATTTGTTTTGCACTTTTGATTGTCTAAGTCCATTGTTGTAATACTTCATTTCACTAATGATATCTGAAGGTGTTCAAAACGGTAGTGCTGTGCCTAAAGCCCCAAGTAAACAACCTCTTCAGGGAGTTCCAGATACTGGGGCACGAAGATCAGCAGGAATACAGAGTCGAATGTCTAGTGGTAGATTTAACTACCCAGGCAAGACTGACTGGGCAGCCAAGTAAGTAGCTAATTGGAAAAATCAATTTAATATTACACACCTATGTTAGATGTACTGAGGTTTTGGTAGTGTTCATAGTTGTGCTGGAATTATTGGTTGATGGTTGGCAGCTGTGTAAAATAGTGCATAGATATTGATTGATTTTAATTACCTGTGAATACTATACTTTAGTTTTTTATTCTTATGTATACTCATAACTGTGGTTTAATGCTTATTGTATTTTATTATTGCTACTGTGATACTTTTACAGATATCTGAAGTAGATAGCCACCTGGAGAGTTCAAAAGTACTTGTACAGTGTAAGATAAAGGAAACAATATTCAACAGATGTTTGCACTAAATCATCACAATAAACATTCATATTCACCAACAAGTTTACCAGAGGCTTTTCAGTGAAATTAGTGAAGGATCAAAGGGTTGTTCAAATCCAGAACGAACAAAAATAGCATCAATAACTATTTTCTTCATACTTTCACATTACCTGTGACTGGATATTTGAAAATGCTAACTTGTTCTGAAAATATTATTTATTAGTTGATGTAATTTTATTCAATTTGTTCATGTCTAAATAAAAACAATGTTTTAAGGGTTTGATCTCCTTTTGTGAATTAACTTTTGATAAACTTAAAAGTAGTAGTATAATAATGTTAGTCACCAAAATGATACAAGTTTCTGAAAGTTATCTGGCTTAGAGAAATGAGACAGAAGATAGATATTCACATACAGTGATTATAAAGTAGCTTGTTATAGTATCAATAAGTTAAGTAACAACAGACAATATGAAACTAAGTGAAATCTTGCATAGAAAAGAAACAATTATTGTTTGCAAACATTTGCCATAATTCTAAATCTTTTGTGATGTCAAAGAATTATAATAGTTTTATGGCCACAGATACATAAACACATGCTGATATGATTAACTTCGAGTTTTAATGTACTCTTGAAAAACAAATGGTTAGAATTTAGCTAATACAAGCAGTCTATTGATTAGAGACCTGATAATTTATAGTTTAAAACAATTATTATACCCAAACAATCATTACCATAGTCAACAACAAACTGTGGTAATAAACATTTTAGAAAATGCTTAAAAAAAAACTTAAGCTTAATATATCATAACTATTTTATATAATATATATTCCTAAAAAATTCTTGGAACTGTGATATATTTTTTTTCCAACTAGAGATATTACTGTATAAGAAATTACAGTGCTAGAAAAATAATTATACAAAATATCACAATACAGTTGCATGGTCCCAGATAAAATATATTTGTGTGTGTGTGTGTGTGTGTCTGTGCATGTTAGAATCTTAACATCTTCTGGTATCAATCCACAGTGTGACTACTGCTACAAATACAAACCTGCAAATATTATCATCTTCTTTGTACACTCTTCAATTTCTCCAGGAACAAGCTATGCTCAAACATAGTGGCTAAAAGTCCCCCTTTATTAATAACATCATCAGAAGCCTCATAGGAGATGAGATTACCATTTAAAGTGGTCATCTGACCACCTAAAGTTTTTAAAATAGCATTTCCAGCACATATGTCCCACTTTTTAATTATAGTCACATGGATATAGGCAGAAGAAATACCTTGGACTACTTCTAAAGATTTGAAACCTGTTAAAAAAATGAAAATACAGTTTGTTAATTAATCATTACATCAGCCACTGAAAACTTATACATTGATTACTTGTAAACATTAATGAATGATCCATATACAAGTATGTATAGTAATACAATAAAAATGTTTTCCTTAGAATGATTTGAGAGAACCTACATTAACGTGAACTATAATTTAAATTTTTTTTTTACTAAGGTATTTTATGAGAAATTTTGTTTATTTATTACATTAAAAAGTTAATAAATAAACTAAGGTTAATACTTTTTCACATTTTTTTCTTATTCACGTAATCACTATACAACTATTCAGAAGCCTTTAAATGTGCAACACCTCAATGTGCCAAATAGCCTTCTCTCACCTTGTCTTTTATGTTTGGATGAGGATATACTGTATCTACAAATAAACTCACCAACACAATTTGATGACGTTAAAAGTTTGAATAATGTGTGTTGTCAATCATCACTGAAGACAACTTTTGAATACTTTTGTGCTATATAAGCATACACCAGTCAAGAATAAAGGTAAATTTGTGTTTATCTTACATAACACGTGGGGTTGGTTGATGTGACTGACTTTGTAACCACAAAGTAATTATCATAGTTTCCATATTATACCTTTTAATATTGTACATGTGGCTTTATAAAGTTTGGCAAGTTTTCAGCACACACACAAAAAAAAATCAGACTTTTTCTAATTTAATATTTTTACTAAAGATTTGTCCGTGAATACAAAGAGCCACAGTGTGGACAGCTTCGAGTGTAAAGTGATTTTCATGTTATGATTCAAAAAATACTTTTAATCTGAAAATTTTCAAATTTCATTCGTGTAACCTCGAAAACCTCCTAAATAAATATCAAACTATTTTTCAATAGAACTTCATATTTTATCTGTTATTTCTTCCACCCTAACACTATGTAGACTTGGTTGATCTGAATGACTTTGTAACTACTATAAAGAAAACAAATATACAAATTAAATCTAAATTACCCTTTTCCTAGAATGACTGCAGATTGTAACAGAAAATTACAAATGCTTATCCTAAATAGCTTAATGCTTGTAACAGTCTTCATCCGTTTCCACTTAATATAATTGTTTTATTGCCCTTTGAACCATATCTAACTAATAACACAGGCCTGCAATTGTTTTATTGTCTTGACATTTTTACATGTTCTACAGTAATTCCTGTATGCTGGATCCAAAAATCCATTTTTCTCCATCATGTACAGATTTTTCACAAAACGTCATATGTAATTTTACATAAGTGAATCATTTTCATTGAAATAGGGTCACATTTTGTAATGCTTAAAACATTGACAACCACTGGCTATAGATTTCTCTAGACCAATCGCAATGTGAGAATCTTATCAATCATTCTAGAACTCACGAGACGGTATCTGTTTGTGTGTGCACCTTGGCATTATTTTTTTCTTTTCAATATTATTTATTCGTCACTATGGCAACAAGAGGTTGTGTAAATGACCCAAACATGTAAATTTGTTGTAAAGAAACAAAGGCAAAACATTACAGAATTTGTCAAAAAAGCATATTTTGGAATAAAACTTGGGAACCAAGACAAATCATGGGCTCTGCACAAAGTTTGCACTGTTTGTGTCAAAGAGTTGAGACAATGGACTTAAGGTAAGAAAAAGTCTTTGCCTTTTGGAATTCCAATGGTCTGGTGTAAACCTAGAAACCATGGAGATGACTGCTAGTTTCTCTCATGTAACATGCAAGGTTACAACACTCAGAATAAAAAGGAAATTGCTTATCCAAACCTTCATTCTGCTACAAGACCTGTTGCTCATGGACTTGATGTACTTGTACCTACTCCACTGGAGACTCTTGATACAGTTTCATTTGATTCTGAATCTGATGTCAATAGCAATGATGATAGGGATTGTTTTCAACCTGAAACATCTGGAAAGGTTTCATCAACACAGCAGGGAAGTGGAGAGGAGGTATCAGGTTAGGTTGATCAGCTTGATGGCTGATTACTGCTGTTACTTGAAATGAGGTGCTCCAGATGCAATACATAAAGGAAAAACCACAACACGTAGTTTTGAGATTAAAAGATGTAGATTTCACAAAAAAAAATGAGGATGCATATTCGTTTGACATCAACGTTCTTCCCTTTTCTTCAGTTTGTTTGTGTTTTTGTTAACAAACATAATAATAAAAAATAAAATGTTCACTGTGGTAAATGAAATAATAATTTGATCTAAGTAAGTTTTTTTTCTTCCCAATTGTAAAAAATCCTTACATGATAGAAAAAAAATTAATATTTTCCAAAGCTGTTATTAAAACCAAAAGAACTTTTATGAAGTGTAAACTTGCAGGCCTATGTAATCCCACCATCCAAGTTGTAAATTCCTCGATGACTGCATATCTCACATTACCGTATTGGATGAAATAATGCACAAGCATACCTTGTGAAGGAATATTATTATTATTTATCATTATCTTACCTAATCCAACCTGATCTAACCTAACAAGTTTATAATGTTTATATTTTAGTTACGTTTATAACAAGAAATATAGTGCATATATTTGACCTCTTGTTTTTTGTGTGTGATTGCCAATGAAATTTAAACCCACTTTTTTATAATGATGATACTAGTACACTAAATAATTTCTATTTATTTAAATAATGCACCTAATAACACAGAATAATAACATACACAAAGCAAACAATGTCCTATAACTCATAATTTAATTGGTTTTCTAAGTATGGCAAGAGGGGCTTAAAATAATTCCTTTAGCTACTCGATCTGAATACCACGAGATAAATTTTCAAACTGAAGATGATGTAAACAATACTCTGTACTGAAAACTGTCTTTCTGTTGGTTATAAATGAAATAATATAAAATGTCAGAAAGAGTTCTTTGCATTTTGTGAAAGATAGGATGTGACAGTTGGGTGTAGCAAGTGGCTATGATTTGATAATTTCTGTCTCCATAAACAAATATGATTGAAGGCTATTAAAGTTAAACTTTGCCTTTTAATACATACATATATATATTGTAGTGTGTAATTTACATTAAAGTCCGTACTTCAGAGAGGGGTAGAGGAGGGGAAGTCCTAGGGAACTAATGTCATGATTCTCATACAAGAAGAGGTTAAGGATTTATTTAAGTAGCTTTTATAAAATGAAGAAATTAAAACTCACATAATATTAAAATTTAATTTGTTAACTATTTTGATGCCAAGTTTATTCGTATACACTGGTAGTAAAGTAATTTAATTGTTAATGTAACTCTGTAAAAGATCAGGACATGTGCACTTTGACCTACTTGTAGTGACAGCTGAAGATAGATTATTGTATGAAAGAGTTAAATAGTTTTACCAGTTGCATGTATGTATACATTTATGACTTCCAGTCTAGTATATTCTTATCTAGTCAAAAACACCTTAGGTGTGAAAAAAAAAAGGTGTGGCCAAAAAGGATTGAGTGTGCAACTTAAAGGAATGAAATCAAAACTGGTAGCTACACATTGATAAAGATTTGACAGCAAATATTCATTCATTAGTTATCCAAGCCACATGTTTTGTTAAACTTGGGGTATGATGGTGGTTAAATTAAAATATGCAGCCTAGCTAATTAATGAAAGTATATTTGCTGTCAAATCCTTATCAAGGCTATAGGTAAAACTACCTGTTTAGCCACCAATTTTGATTTCATTACTTTAAATCATACACTCAATCCTTTTTTTGACTGCACTTTTTTTTCACGCCTAAGGTGTTTTTGATTGGATATCGTGACTTTTTGTCAATACACACCAACAAACCACAGCAAGTAAGAAAGTGACACTCAATAGTAACCCATAATATCTTTAGGATCACAACCCTATTATTTGGAACAGATCTTTGCTTTACAGAACCAACCAGATTCTTTAAAATATATGGTAGTAGTTTTTGCTTTCTAAAACAGTACCTTATGCCACTTGTGTTGGTTGAGAGTTACAAGTTACACATATTTTACATTTTAATAATACTGTAATTGTAATAAATTGAATACCTGCTCCACCGGCAGGTGTTATAGTAGCATTTACAAATGCATTAGTAGCAATAGCAGCAACTTTGCCAGCATGAGAGCGAGACACTATAATAACAGGATTTGTCTTCCACTTCTCAGGAAAGGTCTTTGCAACTTGTAGTTGAGGAGATGCACCATGACCTACCCAACCCCAGGCTGTAAAAGAGTATATTATATTATTTTATAAAAAGTCATGTTATCTCAAATCATACTATAGTAAGATATTTGATTAAAATATAAATGTTAGATTTACCAAGTTAGACCTAATTCTTAATAAATTAAAGCAATTACATAATTCAATTCTGATTATATAAACTTAAACATCCATCTTTTCATAGTTATGTGGTAATTAAAGCAAAGTAATACATTTGTTCAAAAATCTTTGTCAGTGCCATATTCCTAATTAAGCTCAGTGTTTGTAATTTTTTACTGAAGTAATAAAAAAGGTTATGATCCTAAGAGCACATTTCTATAAAACTTAAAAATTCAATGCCATATTGTTAATTAATAAATGAAATTTTCATACAGTACTAATCCACACAAAAATTAATAAATCAGTAAAGATTATATAATTTTAAGGGAATGTTTGCTTAAAAACCAACTGACAAAACGTAAATTAAACTCCAGTCAATGCCATATTGCTAATTAGGTTTATTGCTTGCAATTTTCATAGTCCTACTCTGAAACAATGCACAGAAATAAATGAAAAAGTATATAACTTTAAAGAGCTGGGTCATGTACAGTAGCATGGCAGACTAAACTTTCTACATTAGGCACAATGTGATTAACATAGTGGTGTTTCTAGGAATAAGTGGAATTGTTATAAACTCCATAGATGTTTCAGTGTAATAAAGTAGTGTGTGTAAATATCATACTAAAGTAAGGTCACATTTGATTAAAGATTATTAGTGTTAAATTTATCATGTTAGGCCTAACTCTTGAAAAATTAAATCAATCACATAATTCACTTCTGATCATAGAAACTTTAAATAAGCATTCATGTGTCCAGAGTTATGTGATGTTACAGCAAAATAAGACCCGTTTGTTAAAAAACCTCCATCAGTGCCATATTGAGGTTTAAGCTTAGTGTATATTAGTAAACCCACATTTACAGGACTGCTATAATACAAATTTAATGCTTGAACTACTATTTTGCATATTCTCAATTTAATGATCATTGCCACTATAATGCAAGTTTAGTTTTTTAACCACATTATAAACAGTAAATAGTACACCTACTTATTTACGTGCTCTAATACAAGTCAATAGAAATTTGAGGTCCGCTTTTAGGGAATCCCTGAAAACGTTTTTGTAAAATACCCGGATTCCCTAAAGGGTTGGGTGAAATGTTTTACCTTTTGTGCAAACCCTGAGGCTAAGATAATTCATTTGGTACCAATTAGAAGTCAGTGTGACCAACAGTTTAGGAGGAGTTACGTGACACAGACACATTGACTGAATCATACTACATAGATATATATACAAAGTAAAAGCATAATGTTATGATTAAATTGTAAACATAAGAGAAAAATGAATACACATATTGATTTATCAAATAAATAAAAACCCATAATTGTTTTTAACTAAGCTAAATTTCTACAATAAGCTAAAAATGGCACTTTTCCATCATACATAATATATATATATATATATATATATATATATATATATATTTATTTATTTAGACACACACCAAGATATTCACACTTTTCTGAAGTCAGTGAGTATCAAATTAGTAATAAACCTTTTACAAGGTGGCAAGATCTATATGAGAAAATAAAATACTTCATTCCTGTATTCTGATCAAGTAGAAAAAATTCAGGGATAAAGCAGTTTTGGTATTAAGAAGTAAAATATGAAATACAAGTGTAACTTGTGGTATTTTTAGTAAGCTACACTGTAAGACAATCTGCAGATGCCACTTGGAAAACCTGATCAGCAGGAACGACAAGTGGTTAAACACCTGGTAAAGATAAACTTAGTAACATATGGTTTTTCATGCCCAGCATCACATAAATGTTATATATTATTATCACAGCTATGTAATATAACAGCTAACACTGCAGCAACCAACAGTCAATTTTCCCTGTAGCTGTCAATAGCAAAAATTCACTTGATATCCCATCAATGTTATGATTAAACTATAAACACAAGGTGGAATACATATAATGATTTATTTAATGAATAAAAAATCCTAAAATTGTTTTTTTAACTAAGATAAATTGTACAGCCAGACTGATGAACAATATAAAGCCATTGGATATAAAATTTAAAAAAAGGAATTTTTAATGTTTCAATAAATTGGAAAACTTGCTCATCAGTGTGTTTAGAACAACAATGGTCTTCAAAACTACATCCCAAGTCAATCTAGAGCAACACTCTCACACTAAACAAATCATCTCACTTTTATTGATTCAGTGACATTTTTTGAACACTTAAACAGAAAAATGTATAACTTCCCAATTTCCAGAAAATCATATTCCATAGCTGCAAAATTGAATGAACTCACATGACTAAATTGACTCATTTTATAAACTATTTTGAGAACAAAAAAAAATGTTTAGTACACAACATTCTTTATGAACTGCTAAAAGAGAAATACTTTCTTCATCAAACCATCTGAGACAAGACTGAAGAACTATTTTTAATCCTATTACAAAAACTAAATGTTGCAACATAAAAAATACTGCATACAATTAGTGTCATATCAGAAATATATACACAGAAAAAAATTCAACTTATGAAAATATTTTATATTTCAATACTTCTTGATTTAAAAAAAACACATATTTGTAGATTTATGAGTTCCTACAACATAATCACACCAACTCACCTGTAAAGTTTTCAAATGGTTTGTGAATGACACCAATCATTGGTATACCTTTTACTGCCACACAGACCATGGTTGTAACATACTGTAGTAGGTTTTCTGTAAAATTAATTTCCTATTGTCAAAACAATAAAAATGAAGAGACTGTCTCTTCTATTACCAGTGTTCAGTATTTACAAAGTAAACCAATTCAACAGCCTATCTGTGAATGAAAAAGATTGTAGTTTTATATCAAAAGAAAATGTAAGATAAAATATTTATACATATATAAATAAATAGCTTTCAAACTATTGATTACATTACTTATTATAGACGATTGAATAAGCACTATAAAACAACAATGAACTAAATATCGCATTACCGTAATCTGTTCAGGTTGTCAACTTATCATCCTAATGTCTGTGGCAATAGCACCCAAATGCACTGGGGATATCCCACCTATGAGACAAAATCCAAATGCTGTCAGCCATCGTGAAAAATTAAATAAGAGTATGAAGCCAAGTGCTTACACCCACAACGTCTCAGCTTCTACTGCCTTTCACTGTCTATAGCCAGTTGTGGGAAGGCAGTTACCTTAAATTTCTTGAAGTAGAAATGAAACCACCCTACCATTTCTACTAATTAAACTGCCAACTACCACCCTTACAAAAAGATATTAAATAAAACTATAAAATATTAAATGGAACTAAACAGCATTTGGGTGAAATTGCCACAGATATTATCTGCTATGACAATAAAAGTTGACAACCTGGACCGATAACGGTAATGATATATATATATATTGTGATGCACATACTAATTTTGACCTGTATTCAAAGACCCTGATCTTTAGTGTCTGGAGAAATGCACAAATTAGTATTTATTCTTATACACAGAGAGTGACATATCCATATTTTCTGTTGTACTGTTCCACTAAAGTAAATTTGAAAACAACAGCTTTATAGGACTTTACTAGGAACTGCTTAAACAAAGTGAGGGAAATTCTTTGAACTTGAAGGATTGTGTAATAGATTTGGGGGAACACACAGAGAATATAACAGTTGGTAATACTGGTAGGGAAGGTGAATTTTTTCTTCAATGATACTGAAAGTCTTTGAATAAAGTCATTTGGATTGGAAGCTTTAGTGGTAGTTAGCTTGTTATGCAGATTTTTTTTATTGAACACTTGAGTAGTTGCTCGGTGATGGAGTGGAAGTTGTGTATGGAAAATAAATTAACTTCACTTTACTTACTATATTTTGGATGAAGTCATTTAGTGCTCCGAGCCAGAAAACCAAATTAATGGGAGTAAGAGAAAAATATATCAGCTCTGAGACAAAGAAATTAAAAGTGCTTGTAAGCTATAACATTTTTATGGAGAACATATGTATAACTTTGGTATCACTAAATATTTATAGTTGTTACTTTAGTGTGTTATTTTGAAGAAGTTTTACTGCTTATGTTGATGAGGGTTAAGGTGTGAATTTAGTATATCTGAATTTTTAATACATGTGGGATATCATAAATTATAATTTTGATGGGAATAACCATAAGTGTTACAGAAGTAAAGGATCTTGATTTGATTTATCATTCTCTTAAGCCATCCAAGCAGTGTATTGTTGCTAGTAGTAAACCAAATAAGATTATAAGTTATATCTTCAGAAATATTGAATACAAGTCTAAAGAGGTTATAATATAATTGTATAGGACACTCATTAGGCTTTTTTTTTGGAGTATTGTGTTCAGTCTTGGGCTCCTTATTTTAAGAAGGACATTGAATTGTTGGTAAAGGTTACAATGATAAAAAGGTTGTAATATGAGAACAGGGGAAGATCTCTAAAATTGTTTTATCTTTAAAAATTTAATACATTAGCAATTAATTACATATAACTACAGGCATGATGAACATTGTAGCTAGTAATTAACAATATCACTTTCCATTTTTTATGTTACATTTACCTACAATTTTATCTATATGTTATGAAATAATAATTCATTCTAGTTAAATATACAATTACTGGATGAGTAGACTGGTAATACATAATCAAGATTAGAGGTAAGTAGTAGTTCAGAGATAAATGGGTGAAATGTATAGGGTACAATAGTTGCCAGGAGGCTCAGAAAGATACAATATGCTGCATGTGCAGAGCTAGCTTATTTGATTTAGAAATAGCTTTAAGGAAGATTGCACAATTAAAGTAAATTAGTGTAGTGTGATTAGAAATCAAGGAAGCAAGACAAATTAATAAATCAGGGTAAATGTTGCAAGATTTTCATATGTACACAGTATTAAACAATTAAAGGTACAGAGATAGGTGTTCAGTTAGCATTCAGGTACCAGACTCTAAATACATCTTAAAGTTTGGCTGCTTTTAATGAGAAAGTGGATGACCAAGAGCTTTACATAATGAGGAACTCTCTCATTAAGTAATACTGGTAAAGTTGTTTATAATAGAAAGCACAGAAATGTTAGGACTAGAATCTGCTTGCTATAGAATATGTTGATAGTGTAGTTGCTGATACCAAGGAACATTCTCTATTAGCAGTACCTGTAGGAGCAAATGATGTTGGAAACTGTAAATCAGAAGACTGCTTAAAAAGAATATAGAACACTTTAAAAGGTTTAGGAACCATAATAGTATCTTTAAAGAATGTTCCCTTTGGCTAGAAGTGGAAATGAATTAATTAGCAGGATCCAAGGCTTAAATGAAAGATTACACAGGCCTGCAAATTTTAAACTTCATAAAAGTTGTCTTTCCATAATTCAGATACACAGATTTCAAAAATGATATTAATTTTTTTATCATGTAAGGTTTTTTTTCACAAATCAGGAAGAAAAAAAACTGTTACTGAGATCAAATTATTATTTCGTTTAGCACAATGAACATTTTTTTGTGATGTTTGTTATGTTTTGGTTCTAAGACTCTCACGATGCAATTGGTATAGAGAAATCTATAGCAAATGGTTGTCAACATTTTAAGCACAACAAAATGTGACCTGACTTCAATGAAAATGATTCACTTATGTAAAAATACATATGACATTTTGTGAAAAATCTGTACATGATGGAGAAAAATGGATTTTCAGATTCAGTGTACAGGAATTACTGTAGAACATGTAAAAATGTCAAGACAATAAAACCATCACAGGCCGGTGTTATCAAGAATATGCTTGGTGTCATGGGTTGGCTGTTTGAACATGTGGGACAATTTTCAAAGTGAGGATAAACTGTATGCTAGAGATGAGCTTCACATAAGCAAGCTATGTAGTAAGATGTTTAGGGAAGTTATTATATTAATATCCATTAACAAAACTAAACTTGTATAGAAGAGTAAAACTGTCTTAGCTGAAGATGACCCTGCCAAAATATACATTTGTATCCTTTAGTCCTATTATTCTCACTATTAAGTATAAAAAAAAGATGATCCATTGACACTAGAAAGTCTCTTAACAATCTTAAACACCTTAATCAGATCCCCTCTACCTCTTCTTTTTTCAACAGAAAATATTTCAGAAATCTTAACCTATTCTTGTATGACAATCTTTCCATCCCAAATATCATTTGAGTAGCCCTTCTCTGAACCATTTCCAGCAATTCAATGTCCTTAAAGTAAGGAGTCAAAGACTCAACTCCAAGTGAAACCTAACCAGTGATCTATACAATAAACTATAGCCTCTTTAGACTTATATTCAACATTTCTTTAGCAACAACCTAAACTCTTGTTTGCCCTACCACTAGCAACAGCACTCATTTGAAAAAGACAGGCTAGGATGCAGTTAAAAGTTTTATTTTTCTAACAGGGTAATTGGCTCATGTAATGCATTGCCACCAGAACTTTAATAATCTAAGAGAGGAATTGATATTTAAAAAAAAAAATTTAAGAGTGGGTTCAATTTTATTTTCTCAAGGGTAGTGTACATGGAAAACCTTGAAGGACCAAATGATCCTATTTTGTCCTCATGCTACATAGTAGGTTTAGGTTATATTCTTAAGTCTAATTGGAAATTGTACACATTTGATAATGAAAAGAAAGAATATGTTTTAAGATTTTTCAGATATATATAAATGCATACTTCAAACCTTTTATCTTATCAATTATTTCTTAGATCAAACATATGAACATAATGTTTTGAGCAATTTTTAAAGTTTTAATTTAAATGTTTGCTCGGGATGAAGGACATTAAGATGCGAAAAGTTCATGGAAACTAATAATTGAGAATGTATGTGTAATATATAGAAACAAGGGTACAATCATAGGTACATAAGAGAAAGCCAACGAGGTCATGCAACATCTATGCAGAAACCAACCCATCACATTCATAACTTATCCAAAAGAAAATTAAAGGAATTCAAACTACCAGCACACACCACATCATGAATATATTATTTGAAAAACATTATAATGCTATTTTCATACTTCAATTGTTGGACATTTATAGAGTACAAGTCAACCCCCACCAATTTTTGCTTATAAAGGTTCTTACTATAGGTATGATCACCACATTACATTTTCATAAATACAAAGACCAAATTATAGAAGTCTATCCCAAACTTACAGTAAACTTGTGATACTAATACACTGTAATAATTTATGTTGAGCTCTTCAAAAACTCAAATCATCCACTTCACTGGCCTTTATAACCAGGGGCTCTGGCTTCAAGTCTCAGTCTCGGAGTCACTTTTTGCTTATTGGTTTTTCACCAAGATATTTAATATTAATTATTAAGATATAATAATAATTCACTGGTTCTTCATGATTCTGAATAACTGACTATAAGTTTGTGATAATACTTCTATGAATTGTTCTTTGTACCAATCATAATGTAACTGGTTAATCATACTCATAATGAAAGGTTTTATGAATGAACATTTATAATTCTCATCATGTTTAAAACAGAACTACTACCTGTGTATTCCTGAGTAGCATCTAATGGATCCACCCAAACTGTAATTTGGTCTGAAGGTACCATCTCATCAGCGTCATTCAGTACCTTTTCAATTTCCAAATTTTCACCAACTACCGTCTTCACTTCATCGAAGTTAATGTCTGAAGAATCATGCTCTTCTGATATTACCTGAAAAGAATGTTTAGTGTGGTAAATTATGACAATAGAGCTATTAACCTAATTTATGTAACAAATCAAACATTTTGAGTTTTCAAGGGAAAAAAATGACATAAGACCATTCCACATATCAACTTAATGGATATGGTTCAGAGGAATACAAGAAGAGAACAGAGATAGGTTAAGATCTCACCATATGTTCTCTTGAGATTATCTGGGTGATCAATAAGATACAGGCTTCTGATTTCATGGTGCTGTATATATAATGATGAATATAATATGGCGAGAGGACAAGTTCAAGGTTTGGAAAAAAAGAGAAAAACTCCAATTACGACAGTTACATTTTTCATCAGGGTGTTTTGCTTATAAAGGCAATAGTGGAAATAAGCACTTTACAAGTGATTAAAGCCATGGGTGGAAGCCTACTGAAGTAATTAAACAATTAACAGCTTATTCAATAGCCCCCATTCTCCAGTATTTGACACTTACTTACTCAATCAACAGTTTTATGAGGATAATCAATGATTTCCTATAAAAATAAAGGGTGGGCTTTAAAGCCTTGAAAGACTGAATGGTCCCTTGTAGTCCATATGTTTTCTATTCATCAACCGTTACATAACTCCTAGACCTACTTGAAGAAAGTTAATATACTTTTTTATTTCCAAACTATTCCACAAAATGACAATTTGTAATATTGCATAAAGAGAAGATAAAATATAACTATAAGGTTGCAATCACCTGTAACATTCTATAGAGATACTAATTACACTTCTATTAAACATACTTCAATATAATGTATAATGTCATCTGATAATTTGTTTTTGATATTACAACACAATTAAACTGATAACTATAATTAGATCATTACAGGTTTCCAGAGATAAAAAAGGGGGGTTTCAGTCTTTTGTTTGAAGCACACAAGAAATAGGTGACACTTGTTCAAGTATCAAGATATATGCATAGGTCTTTGGTCTTTGGGAATACAAATACGAATATTATAGGTTTAGCTTTGGAAGTCTACATCAGTGCTTCTCAACCTTTTCCAATATTATTCATCCCTACAAGTTTTTCACAACAGCTCATTCACCCCAGTTCGAAAGAAAGACAAAAATACTAAATAAAAATGCAAAATTCTTTATTATGACTTAAAATTAAGTATACACCAAACTACAATTAGAATTAATACAACATAAAATAAACAAAATATAAATGCATTTATCGAACTACAACTAGAAAAATAATAGCTAATGAATTTTTTTGCTCTTGAATTTTGTATAATTGATAATACTCATTCACCCTGATTCTGATCTCATCATCCCCTGGATGAAAGATTCACCCAGTTGAGAAGCACTGGTCTGGATTACAGACGATGTCTTTTTTTTCAATAAAATTATTTAGAATTTAGTTAGTTACAAAGTTCTGTAAGAATTTTTTATTGTTTGAATTAACAGTTACCTGATGGTATAATTTAAGTTTCAGCCACCCTTTTTTTTCTTATGTCTGTGTGAAAAATGTCATTTAATCCTTCAACTTAAACATTAAAGGCTGTCTTTAAACACCCACCATTAAGAAAATTAAATACTCAAGATTACTATCTTATACACCAATCCTAGAACAAATCATTCAAATCAACCTGCTAGAAAAATGAAACTTTTGCTTTAGCTGGAGCTTAGCCTATTTTTTCCAAATCTTAAATTTGTGCCCTCTCACCTCATTGTCTTCATATATTCATCAAATTCTCATTTGAGCTCTCCCAATCCAGTTATATCTACTGTGCTTTAAGTTTAGAATTTTAATGGATAGTCAATATGGTTTCACTAAGGTTGCTGTTTATGTAGATTTCAGGTATCTGAATTTTCAGAAAGCATTTTACAAGGTGGCACATAAAAGGTTTGTAAAAAAAAACATTAAGGGATGAATTAGCTAATTGGATAGAAGAGTGGCTGGATAAAAGAAAGCAGAGGGTTGTTACAAGTGGAGTTCAGTCACACTGAATTATCATCACAAGTGGGATACCTCAGGGCTGTTTTAGAAACTTTGCTATTTTTTGATTTAAATCAATGACACATGAAGAAATGGTCAATCAATTACTTAAATTTGTTGATGATATTAAGCTCTTGGGTGTTGCTAACTGTGAAGAGGATGCTGCTGCTTTACAAAAAGATTTAGATCATTTAGTGAGTTGGGCAAATAAATGGCAGATGGATTTTAATTATAATAAATGCAATAAAATGCATGTGGGTTATCATAATTTGAATTCTAAGTAAAAATTGGATGGGAATAACCTAAACAGTGTCACAAAAGAAAGGGATCTTGGTGTTCTGGTTGATCAGTCTCTGTTGCTAGTGGTAGAGCAAATAGGAGTTTAGGTTATATATACAGAAATAATTAATACAAGTTTAAAAGAGGATATAATTTCATTGTATAGTTCACTGGTTAGGCCATATTTGGAGTATTGTGTTCAGTTTTGGGTTCCTTACCTTAAGAAGGACATTGAATTGTTAAAAAGAATTCAGAGTAGGGTTACCAGAATTGTGCCTGGGACAGAGGAGTTGTCCTATAATGAGAGATTAAGATTATCTGAAATTGTTTTCTTTTGAAAATGGAAAATTTAAAGGAGATCTGATTGAGGTGCCCAAAATTGTAAAGGGGATTGATAGTGTTCAAGCAAATCTTCATACTTAATGATGAGAATAGTAGGACTAGGGGACACAAATATAAATTTTGGCAAGGTAAGAGTCATCTTCAGCTAAGGCAGTTATATTTTTCTAACAGGGTGGTTGGCCTTTGGAATGGGTTGTCTTCAGATGTTGTGGAGGCAGTAAATTTAAGTGAGTTTAAGAGAAAGCCTGATAAGTATAAGTATGATAAGGGCTGGATTGAAGGTTTTTTTGGTTTTTTTCTGTTTAAAAGTTTTAGTTTATTTTAAAGGATGGGAGCTGAGATGGACCAATAGGTCCCTTGTTGTCCCTTAACATTATGTTAACTTAAGATGATCTATTCAAAAGACTGATCGAAAAATAAAACTTCCTAATTCTCAGAAGACTTCTACTTTGCCTTCTATTACTCTTAGTAAGTCTTACCATTAAATACGAAAAATGGATGATGCATCAATCCCAGATCTATTTGGAGTATTTCCTATATAATTTTGAACACTTCAATATCAAAAGTTCAATCAGGTTCCTCACAATTCTGACCCTTCTTCTCTTTAGAGAAAATAATCCTAATTATAAAATATTATCCAAAAAAATCATTCAATGTAATTGTGTTAAAAATAAACGTACCTTAATATACGGATACGTTTTCTTTAATCCGTACACCATTGCACGATGCGATCTCATATCACCTTCGGTCAAAGGATCATTAGCGCCTTCCTTCGTTTTACCCTTGCTCGACTCCTTTAGGTCTGTAAGTTTCCGAACATTTTTTACCTCGGCACCACCTCTCTCAGCTATTTCAATACTTACTGCAAGTAGATGCTTAAGGCTAACCTCAGTAGTAGTTTTCTCTAAATTTTCTCCTGTACTTTTTTTATTGGGATTAACATTAAACACTCCACGATGATTTACTTTAGAACTATCTGAACTAAGTAGTACTGAATACAGAAGCAAACATAACAAAGTACTCGTTATTAAGAAAGTAATCCTTCCTAAATTCAACTTCACAACGTTTGCACACATTCTTCTGACAGTGACAATCTAAAGACGAGTAAATATTTTTTGTTTTTAACGTTTATCAGTTAATTTCACTTTTTAAACAATATTGCACAGCAAAGAAGCCTAAATGAATTAGTCGAAATACATTGCCTCTTTGATACCAGACATAAATTTATAGCAAACTACTACAAATACTAGTATTACTGCAAATAATGCAGTGATAAATTCAAGTATACGTTAACCGCCTCAATAAAGTCACCAGCATAGTAAGTTTGTAACTCTGAGTCTCACTCCGAGAACGTTGCAGAAAACGCAGTTACCATGAGCAGTAATGCGCATGCGTATTATTGGTCCAGCAATATAATTATGAGTTCATGTGTGTGCTACGCTATCCTACATTAATTTGCACATCGTGTGTTGAAATGTATTTTATTTACACGATAGCCCTATACTTTTATAGAAGTTTCAAGAATATGCAAGCTGTTCAAAATTCTAAAATTTATATAGGGCTCCACATTTCTGTTTTACTAT